CTTGAAGGTATTTATAGTCCGTGATCATGTCAGCCCTCACTCTTTTCTATGGTACACACAGCTCTCCCTATCACTCCTCCTTTGTCTTGTCCTTGACTTTCAGGAGACAGATCCTGATGTTCTATTTAGGTTCTTATACTCTGCCTTTTACCATGGTGTCTGAAGCCAGTGAGACCTATGAGTGTAATCAACTACTAATGACTTTCTTCAGGGTCACATAGTGAAGTTAGGTGGGATCATTTCAGCCAGCCAGAAAAGGCAGCTTGAATTTGAACACCTTATTTCCTGTTACTTTCTTCTCTTTCACACACATGTATCTTTTGGAAACCAACACACAGAGGTGTGTGAAAATTCCAGACAAAACTAGAAATGGTCAAAACCAGAAGTTTTCATATCTCGCTGTAAATTTTCAAAAATGATCCATTTTTGTGGAAAAAGCGATTGAAATTTTGTAGGGTTTTCCACCAAAACCAGGAACTTTGTGTAAAACTGGGGAAATCCTCACTCCTGAGCAAAAAACCGCAATTCGGTATTTCTTTAAGGCAAACATCAGTTCACCTGGTAAACACATCTGATATTTGCCGTTTTTAATTTGGAAATTTTACAGCAAATGAAACAGAAATTTGATATGTCTCAGAATGGAGTAGCAAAAATGTTCATGTGAACGTCTGTGGGGAAAAATTTCACTTTGATGCAGCTTTGTCAATGTAGCTTTCCCCAAGATGAGTCTAGCTTTTAGGAATCTGTCATTTTACCAATAAAGTTAACTTAATTGACTTTAAATTAGCCAGAAACCAAGTAATTTACTATATTCTCTCAAAAGACCGAGGAACACATGGCTCGTTGCACAAATGGCAAAAAGACTATGCATATTCTAGAGGAGTCCTAGAAGTCAGAGATGGAATTCCTCACCTGGAATACTGTATTCAGTTCTAGTCACCCTGGCCCACACCCTCAAAAATATTTAGGCGCCTAACTCCCATCCATGGGATCTGGGCCTCTGTTGTTAAGGAGGATATAGCAGAAATAGATAGACAACTAAGGGATGAACAATGAGAAAAAGTAAAGGCCTGGAAAAACTTCCATCTGAAGGGAGGTTGAAATGACTGGGGTTGTTTACTTTAGAAAGGAAGCCAATGAGCAGACACAATAAAGGTATTTAAAATACTGAATAGTATAGATAGGGTGAACTGATGTACCCGATTTACCTTATCTCATAGAATCATAGAACTGGAAGGGACCTCGAGAGGTCATCTATTCCAGCTCCCTGCACTCAAGGCAGGACTAAGTATTATCTAGACCATCCCTGACAGGTGTTTGTCCAACCTGCTCTTAAAAATCCCTAATGATGGAGATTCCACAACCTCCCTAGGCAATTTATTCCAGTGCTTAACCACTCTGACAGTTAGGAAGTTTTTCCTAATGTCCAACCTAAACCGCCCTGGCTGCATTTAAGCCCATTGCTTCTTATCCTATCCTCAGAGGTTAACGAGAACAATTTCTCATCCTCCTCCTTGTAACAACCTTTTATGTACTTGAAAACTGTTCTCATGTCCCCTCTCAGTCTTCTCTTCTCCAGACTAAACTAACCCAATTTTTTCAATCTTCCCTCATAGGTCATGTTTTCTAGACCTTTAATCATTTTTGTTGCTCTTCTCTGGACTTTCTCCAATTTGTCCACATCTTTCCTGAAATGTGGCGCCCAGAACTGGACACAATACTTCAGTTGAGGCCTAATAAGTGCAGAGTAGAGCGGAAGAATTATTTCTCGTGTCTTGCTTACAATACTCCGGCTAATACATCCCAGAATGATGTGTACTTTTTTTGCAACAGTGTTACATTGTTCACTCATATTTAGCTTGTGTTCCACTGTGATCCCAGATCCCTTTCCGCAGTACTCTTTCCTAGGCAATCATTTCCCATTTTGTATGTGTGTAGCTGATTGTTCCTTCCTAAGTGGAGTACTTTGCATTTGTCCTTATTGAATTTCATCCTATTTACTTCAGACCATTTCTCCAGTTTGTCCACATCATTTTGAATTTTAATCCTATCCTCCAAAGCACTTGCAACCCTCCCAGCTTGGTATCGTCTGCAAACTTTATAAGTGTACTCTCTATGCCATTATCTAAATCATTGATGAATATATTGAACAGAACCGGACCCAGAACCGATCCCTGTGGGACCCCGCTCATTACGCCCTTTCAGCATGACAATACATAATACAAGAACAAGGGGGAGTTCAATGAGATTGAAAGAAAGCAGATTTAAAACTGATAAAAGGAAATATTTTTTCACAGAATACACATTTAAGCCTTAGGAACTCATTGCCACAAGATATCTTTGAGGCCAAGAATGTAGTAGAATTCAAAAAAGGATTGGACATTTATATGGATAAACATAACCAGAGTTGTTATGATTTTTTTTAAAATCTAAGAGTTTTGGAAGGGGTGTAAATCCTCATGCTTCAGGGCCTTTAACTACATATGGGTTTAGGAAGAAACCCCCACAGCTTATTCCATATCTGCCTACTGCAGGGTTTTCTGCACCTTCCTCTGAATCACCTGGCACTGGACTACATACACTCCATCAGTCATATTATATCTGACCAATATTCCTCTAGAAAATACAAATCTCTATCTCTCTCTTGTTGGCTGCTCCACCTGTGCTTTCCCCATACTTTTCCAGCTGCCGTTTCCCACACACTCCACACGCAAGCTGTTGCTTCTGCAAGCCACCTGCTCCCAATCCACTGGGTCAAATAATCAAGTATTTTCTAGTGATATTCTTTATCTGATTTCTATGAACAGCCTTGCGCCACCCCCATGCCCACACGCCAGGCTGTGTATGAGGAAAGAAAGAGGTGGATGACTTACTCTCAATATAATGAGTGTTTTGTGTTGAAAGTGCTGTGTGTTGTACGTCCCCCAGTCCCTCTCCCTGCTAAAGCAGGATTATTACTACAGTTGTTTTCTTCTCCTGTATATGTCTGGTCTAGTTTTACAAGTCCTAGATGCAGGGCCAATCAGGGGGGGGGGGGGGCCAGGAGAGCCATTTCACCTGGGCTTCAAGCTCAAAGGGGGCCTCAAATTTAGACACTTGTTAATTTTTTGGCATTTGATAAGTTTTGCAACTTGTTTTTATGTGCATCCCTATCAGACCAAAATGTGACCCACTCTCAGCTTAAAGCGGCAAATTTAAGCAAATAAGAGATGTGATTTGGTAAAAGACATAATTTTTTCTGTTAACTGATACAGATTTTGTCATATTCAAGCGTTAAAAATGTTCATACATATTAATAAAAATCTATCGGTTCTGATGGCACAAGATTAGACCATGTGTCGTCGTTTTTTATTTTTATTATGGCTAGGGGCCTCAAAGGCTGGAAGTAGCCCGGGCCTCTCTGGACCTCTGAGAGGGCCTGCCTAGATGTTGGCATTTCTGCCACATCTATAAGTAGTAGTGAGAAAATGATGAAAGGGTGAATTAAGATAAATTTGGATCCGCATCTAGACTAGCAAAGGGGTGAGTTACAGTTCTGATTAGAATCAAAACTTTTCCAAAGTTTGGGGATTTGGTTCAGACCCAGTACAATAACAGACGTAAGAAACCAAGTCTGGAAACAGATTTGAACTACCACAATGTCTGGAAAGTGCGGGGTCCAGTTCTGATGATCTGTTACTGTCTAGATTAGAGATGATGCTGAAGTATAGTTTTGCCCACAGTAATTTTTATGACTCTTATGTACTCCTAAAAGCCACCATTGTGGCCAATTAATCTACCCAAGGAGTTTTCATTTCATCATTTGATGCTTACTTCCATGTAGCCCATGCAGTCTGAAGGTTACAGAATTTATTATTGGTATTTAGTTGTGTGTAATTTATGAAACAAACTGACACAGCAGGATGGCATTGTTAACACATGAGTTAACGTTGCTTTGGTTGTGTTTCTCATGTACCGTCAAATAATCAATTTATTTCTGTTGACTTTCTGTATCTTACTTCTATGGACCCTTCAACCAGTGTACATATACACACTATTGTGCATGTGGAGAAGGAAGCCGATGACTTGTTCTTGATATAATGATAGTTTTGTGTTCAAACTGCTGCATGCTTTGTATGTTACGAAGAAACAAAGATGAATCAATTCATTCATGAACCAATAAAGCTACTGCAGTGACCAGGTCAATTAATTTATAAACTGTCTGTTTGGATCCTTGGCTGGATATGCACATAATCCCTGTCCTGCTTCATGCACCTCTTAGCTCCCCTGCTCCACCATAACCATTAGCTTCTCATTCCTGAATGACAGTGTAAAAATGGGATCTCACCTAAGGTTGCAGCTGGCGAAGCATTGGGGAGGAAGGATGTTGGTTGGTGCAGGAGACCAGTTGGGTTGGCAGTAGGAGCTTGCTGGAACATGGCATTGCAGAGTGTGAGTGGGGAGAGAAACAGCGGGCAAGGTGCAGGAGGAGGCTGGATACAGCAGCATCTTGGGAGCAAACGGAGGGGAGGGACTGGTGGGGCTGCAGTTGGAAGGTCGGGGTGGCGGGACAGGTCAGGTGTAGGTGCATCTTGGTGGTGGCTGGGCAGGGAAGCAGTCAGGAAGTGGGGACTGCCAGCCATCTGGGCATGGATTCACTTGAGTGGCTTACAGTTGCACGTGCACATTTGCAGGTAAATTTTCGGAACTGAGTTTTGACCTCTGTTTCTGAAAACGTGTCCCTGAAACTTTCCATGCACTCCGATGCTGAGCTGCCTTCCCCGTGTCATGCTCTGCATCATCAGACTCTCTAGAGGGCAGCCATCTATATGGTTATAGACTTCTATTATGTTCAAGACACTGTAGAAAGACTTTTTAGTGATTTACAGTGTAGGCATTTAGACTAGCTCTTATCTCACACTGCAGTTCCCTCTAACGTCGCCTTGTGATTTGGCTCTGAGAGATTCCTATTATTACTCAGATCAGATTTAAAGTGTCACTTTTTTAAAATGCTGTTTCAGACTCTATAGGTGGACCCTTTCCGGCTTCCTCTCACCGATGCCACCACAAGCAGAAGCATTGTCTGCCCATCACGCAGTGCGGAGCTTTGTCGATCAGCCCGCTGCTTTTCCATCCCCACGCCAAGGGGTCCCAGATCATCATGGACATGGCACAGAAGGCAGTGAAGCGGCAGGCCAGCTTCTGCAACGCCATCACCTTCAGCAACAGGCCTATCGTGATCTACGAGCAGGTCAGGTTAAAGGTGAGTAAATGACTCCTCCCTCGTCGCCATTGTAACGGCCTCAAGTGCTAGCAGGAAAGACTAGGTGTAAAATATTAGTGAGTTATAGCAGAACCTGTATATAACATAGTTCCCAGAGAAGCATAGATGGGAGTCTTGGGTGAGGGAAGTATGGCTCATGGTATATCAACACTGAGATAGTTTGTCCAGTGGGGCATCTTAGTTTTAGTACCAGACCTCTTCATACAATGCACAGTCAACCTTTGGAACTCTTTGCCACAGGATGTTGTGAAGACTATAACAGGGTTCAAAAAAGTACTAGATAAGTTAATGGAGGATAGGCCCATCAATGGCTATTAGCCAGGATGGGCTGGGATGGCATCCCTAGCCTCTGTTTGCCAGAAGCTGGGAATGGACGACAGAGGATGGATCACTCGATGATTCCCTGTTTTGTTCATTCCTTCTGGGGCACCTGGCATTGGCCACTGTTGGAAGACAGGATACTGGGCTAGATGGATCTTTGGTTTGACCCACTATGACCGTTCTTATGTTCCTATGTTTTCCATCCCTTTCCTGGAACGCAGAGTCCTAGGCTCTTGGTCTGACAGACCTTGTGCCTGTGCCATCCTCTTGCTTTATTAGTATTATTATCAATTATTTGTATTATCATTGTGTCTAGGAACCCTAGTCACAGACCAGGACCCTACTTTGCAAGGTGCTGTACAGATGCAGAACAAAAAGACAGTCCCTGCCCCAAAGAACGTACAATATGACCAGGGAAAGGTATAGCTAGACGGGGCAATACAAGGAAATAATGAGATAATACCGGTCAGCATGACAGGCAGTGCTGTCAGCACACCAGCAGCCTAACCCTAGTCTAGGTTTATTTTTTTGTAGGCATCGCAGCAAAGGAGAGTTTTAAGGAGGGATTTCACAGAGGGGAATATGGTCACTTTGCCGATGTTTACAGGGAGCTCCTCCCAAGCATGAGGGGCAGCATGTGAGAAAGCACAAAGATGCTTGCTTGAAAATGTAACTAGTGGGCAATAGAGACTGGCACCATGGGCTGGTCAGAGGCAGGAGTGGACATCTCGATGGCTCATGAGAGATAAGTAGGATGGGGATAGGTCATGAAGGGCCTGGAAAGTGAAGACAAGCAGCTTGGTGTTTGATGTGATACAGAAAGGGGAGCCACTATAGGGATGCAAAGAGAAGGGTCACATGGACAGAGTGATGGGCCAGGAGAATGATCTTTGCAGCAATGGGGATATGAGCAGGCCAAGATTGCATCTGTCAAGATCAGAGAAGACGAGGTTGCAGAAATCCCACTTCCTCACTGGGATCAGACTGATTCACCTCCTTTGTGGCATGTGCACTGAAGGGCGACATAGATTGCTGCTTAGGGCTTCTCCTGGAGGCAGGAGCGGTGCCAGGGTTTTTGCCAGCAGCGCTCCTCCACAGTAATTGGCGGCAGCTCCTCCTCTGAAGCTGCGTTCTCGGCGGCGGGCGTCCTTCCGCTCCGGGTCTTCGGGGCACTCTGGCGGTGGGTCCCGGAGTGAGTGAAGGACCCGCCACTGAAGACCTGGAGCGGAAGAAGCCCCTCGCCGCCAAAATTCCGGAGAGGGTGGCGAAATGCCGTCCCCCACATCCTGCTGCCCTAGGCGACCGTCTAGGGTCGCCTAGTGGAAGTGCCGGCCCTGCCTGGAGGGCACCACTTCTCCTGGACAGATATCCCTTTGCATCAAAGCCTTCAGACAAACCACATGTAGCCTGACTTGTAGATCACATGCTCTTCCTTGTATTGAGAGCTGAAAGGGTTTAGCTATGGCTCTTTAGCGGCTGAACCACCTTTAGGGCATATCCAAAGGCTCGGAGGTTCTTCCTTTCAATTCAGATAAGACCTTAAAAGTCTGAGTCTGTCTCTGAAATATCCAAAGCTTTTGGGTCTGCAAATGTGGAGCCTGAACTTGGAGTTGAGCGCTTCCTGAGAGGTGCCAAGCTTCCTCATTCCAATTGAAGTCAGTAGGAAATGAGAGCACTCAACACCTCTCTGGCTCCGGCCCTTGGGTGGAAAAATCCCTTACACAGGCTTCTATTCATTTCCTGTTCGGTTCTTCCTGGTTCCATGCAGGCTGGAAATGCAGCAGGACTGATCTAGTTACGTTGCATTTTTGGCTGGAAGCTGGGAAATGCAGAGACAAATGACCCTGACAAATTATGAGATGGTTGGGATGGGAGATGAGAGTTAACTAATTATTTTGTTTTTGAAAAAACCTCACCAAAGGTTTGCATTTTAGGCAAAGATTATGGGTCATTTCTATGTTCTGAACCAGTTCTCCTGTCCCTACTCAGGAAGCTCGATGTTTGTATTTGACCATGTATATTAGGATTTTATCTTCCATAACACACATGAAGCATTAGCGGGCAGGACTTTCAACTGTGCACTAGGGCTTTACGAACAGAGCTCCCACTGAAACCAATGGGAATTTTGCACATGAATAATCAACAAGCATAAGCAGAAAAAGTGCCTTGGGGATTGACATAAATCTGAAGAATGCCTTTGCCTTTCTGTGTCTATTTTCTGCTGAGTCCATTTCCAGCAGTCTTTTTTTTCTATCTTTCCCCAAACTGTCATCTCTAAGCTTTTGTGTTTTCTATATCAGATTCTCACCAATTTCTTTTCTATGCATCCAATCCCGCAACTCATGTTCAGGCAAAACTCCCTCTACAGGCCTGAGTGAGGGACTGTGGGATTTGACCCTGTTTGCCAGATGTCATTTCAGAATTAATCCTACTCCCTTCTCTGCTCCTCTAAGTCTTCTAAGAAGCCCACTAGGCAATGAATCCAGAGTTGTTCAGCAGGCCAGAGTGCCGGCAAGTGGAGATGCGCAGTGTGATGCGGATCTGTGTTCTGATGGAGCTTCTTGGAGGTGGAATCCCAGGCAGTGGGTGTGGCTGGGGCCAGAGTTAGTGGATCTGTGGAGGTGGGATGTAGGAAGCAGCAGCCCCAGACTGCGGTAGCTGTCATGGAACAACTTAGCTACTCCTTTACAGTCTAGGCATGGCAGATGCCTGTTCCCTCCCCATCCCACGCCCTGTGGACCTCCCCAGCCTGTCAAATAGGGGTGTTTGCTGAGTAGAGGATTTGGCCCATCATTAATCATTATCTTTTTTTTTTTTTTAAGCAAAAATTAGTGTGTTTGGGTGTCCAGCTATGCAAATGCTTGGCAGGGTTTACACTAGATTTTAACCCAGATACTACCTATAGTTTACCTATAATCAGCCTGTGTTGGCAACTGTTTATTTGTTGGGGCTGATGAATACAAGGGGATATACTCCCCGTATCGCCATATGAATATTTACTTGTGTAGCATGTGATTAGTATAAAATATTGGCAAGACACTGCAGAGCAAGTTGTACAATGAGGTCATATTTATCTAGGTCCCAGGAGGATTTAGGATTTGCAGTGAAATTGCTACAATAAATAATCCCAGTTTTTCAGCAACGAATGGACTTCTGTCATTTCCATTTTATATATTTAATGTCATTAAATATGCTTTATTGCATTTTGCTGCATCCAAATCAGCTGCCATAGGGCTGTGATGTCATCCCATCTGACAAGCTAAGCAGGCGCCAGATCGTTTTTTACGTAGCTGGGAGACCTCTTAGGAAAGCCTTAAGGTGCTGTGGGAAGTAGTGATGGTTTTTCAGTAGGCAGCACTCGGCACCCTGAGTCAAGAAAGAACCAATGCCCTAGCCCAGTGCTACGGGCTGCTGGAGGCGCCATCTTTCATATGAGATGTAAAATCCTCTGGCCAGAAAAGATTTGTTGGTGCTTCTGCCAAGAGTAGGTTTGCAAGGCAGAATGTAATTACCCCAGAAATGGAATTTAGTTCGCGCGCCAGGGCTAATTATATCCCCCCCTGTAGTTTTAACTTGATACAGTCTCTTTTACGTTATGTCTTAACCTTTTCTGCAGTGTTGCTGTGTGCTGTTATGCAGATGCCATGTCCTACCCCAGAGGTGGCAACATTTTTAGTGGTGGATTAAATTATTCTAGAACATACAGGACCCAATCCAGTGGGAGCTGAGAGCACTCAGAACCATGCAGGAGGCCTTCAGCATGGCACGGCATGGAGCTCGTAGCCTGTAAAGTGCTATTGGAATGCAAGATGTTCTTATTGCTGTTATCTTTGCAGATAACAAAGAAGCAGTGTTGCTGGAGTGGGGCTCTCCGACTCGGATTTACTTCCAAGGATCCCTCCCGGATTAATCCTGACACATTGCCAAAGTACGCTTGCCCGGACTTGGTTTCCCAGAGTGGATTCTGGGCCAAAGCCCTGCCAGAAGAGTTTGCAAATGAAGGAAACATCATAGCATTCTGGGTGGACAAAAAGGGCCGGGTGTTTTATCGGGTCAATGACTCTGCTGCGATGTTGTTCTTCAGTGGGGTGAGGATCACGGAACCCCTGTGGGCTTTGATTGACGTGTACGGACTCACCCGGGGGGTGCAGCTATTAGGTAGGTGCCTTTCTGAAAGTGCTATTTCTTGACTTGAGTGCTTAGAGTCGATGTACCTATGTTCTACAGCTAAGAAATGAGGCTGGACAAATCCCAATGATAAATTAGCCAGGTACTGTCTGTCCAGTAGATTAAAAAAAAAAAATCCTACTCACTGTGACAAATCTGCTTCTGAGAAAGGAAAAGGTTGTTAAATTCCATCAGGGTAAATCTTACAATCTGAACCCATAATAATTAGTGTGTTTAAAGCTAAGCAAACATTTATTATAGGAGTGGGAGGGTGGGAAACAATAAATCACTAGCAACTGTCAGTAAATAAAGGAATTTCTGCCAAGAGAACTTGCACCAATGAAACTACATCGCTGCACGTGCTGCAGTGTGGAATGTACCTTATAAAACGTCCTCTGTCTTATTTGCTTTCCCAGTTATGGGGTGGGGAAATGCATTTTATTGCTAATGTGTAATTCCTTCTCTGATGGCAATACCATGATTCTCTGGGTGGGTAAGTGGGAGGCTTATAGCTTATGCTCCAGCCACATATTCTGGGATAAGCAGTTGTTATGTAGTGGAAAACATCGTTTTCAAAATATTAGCTCAGAGGAACTGGATCCATTCTCTGGACCCAAAAGATTGGAAACATGGTTGGGGGTGTGGTATGAGAGGTGCCGAGCAACCTCATCTCTGAATGAATCCAGTGGGAATTGTGGAAGTTTGGCCCCCTCACAGGAGGTGATCAGGCTCCGAGTTTGCAGACCCAAGAGCTCTGGACATCCCAGCTTTGAGGGTCTTTTCTGAACAGAATGGAAGTACCTCCAAGGGTCTTGTTTCAAGAAGGAGCTAGATTAGTGAGGAACCAAAGACTCAGCAATGAAGGCCAAAGGGCATAGCAGAGAAACAGACACTCGCACCTCAACATATAATGCTGGCCGCTTTGTTTTCATTAGGAAAAGCGTTGTTTTTTATCTGTGTTAACTAACCTGTGGTAACTAACATGAGGTAAAATTCAAACGAAGACAGAGCGTTTGTAGTTTTAACACAAGTTAGCAGGTTGAGAAGCCTATGGAGAAGCCTAGGGTTTGCCCTGATAACTTGTGGAAAACTACAGACTGCCTCCACTGGGATTTTACCTTGCGTTAGTTACCTTGTGTTAGCTAATATGTGGTAAGAACATGCCCTTGATGCTAGTGAAGACACACCCTCAGTGTTTAGTCAACCCTGTTTCTGACAGCTCTGCCTGCTTCCTGCATCACTTACTTGTTGCTACTAAATCAGGGTGGCAATACTGGCTGTAGTGATGTACCGCTGTATGGAAGCTAACACTGAATTCAAGATGCAAAGGGCTTGTTTACACAATGGGGTAATGTGCTTTACGGGGATTGCTAAAGTGCACTAATGTGTTACACGTTGATTGGTCTGTGTAGTAGACCCTGTTGGTGTGCACTAAAAGTTCCCTAGTGCACTTGAATGTAGTGCTGTTTCAAACAGCACCAACAGTGTCTATACCACATTATCCCACCATGTAGACAAACCTAAAGAAACTCATAGCTCTAGGATCAAACTATGCGCACCATCTCCTTAAAAATAAAAAAAACCCAAACCCTCAGACTGCACAAGCAGAATGCATTAAGGCATCTCTAGGCAGCACTTCGCTTTTCCTCAAGAGTGGAAGGATTTATCGTTCATGGTGAATCTGCTTGTGCACCCGTGTCATGTGAACTGAAGTTGGGCCAAGAAAGCGGTGATTGGATCTGGAGCTAGAGTTGTCAGCTTTAGTCTTGGGGCTGAGGGTTCAGATACGAGGTAGTTTAGAAGTAGCACCAAAATCTCACAAGCTGTTCACTTGAGATTTTGTCCCCCAAGATGCCATCCCGGAGTGGATGCTTGCTAAGGTCAGCCACATCCCTCACTCCAAGCTAGACATTTGTTTTCAAAATACCCAGAGTGATGATCTCACATTCTGTGTTTCCCCTGTATTCTGCCTTACCCTTTTCACCGTCTCTTTTTGCCTTTGAATGCCCTCAGTACTGAGAGCTAAGCGGCAGCAACATTCAACTGAAGACGGGCCTTGCCTTTGCCAACCAGTGATCCATCCCCGGTGGGGCCAGCTCTGCTGTGCACGTGCCTCCAAGATTCTAATTCAGGCTTTTGCTGACACAAACCCTTCGAATGAAACAGGCTGCTTCCGAGTTTATGCAGTTGGCTCAGTGCTCAGAAATATATTTATAGCACGTTGCAGCAGACTTCAGCGGGCTTTAATCCCAACAACTGTGCTGAAGCGTCTGAGTCTTGATTCCCCACTGTGCAGCACTAGAACGCATGCAGCACCTAACGTCTTACAACCTACCATCTCTGTCTACCCACTGCAGATCTTACATGCTTATTTTAATACAGGCATCTAAACACATACTACAGGCCAAACTTCTCCAAAGTTCAAGGGAGCTGAGATATGGAGCTTTTGATTTGGAGACTCAGTTCTATCTTTAATATGACCTAGCCACAAATAGAAGGGCAAATCCTGCCCCCAGTATCTCACAGAGGTCCCACTGGAGTTAGTGGAAGCCAGGTGTGTACATTGAAGGGAAGAAATTGGCCTGTAAGATACTTGTAGACCTTAAGGTCAGAAGGGACCATCATGATCATCTAGTCTGACCTCGTGCACATTGCAGGCAACAGAATCTCACCCACCCACCCACTCCTGTAATAGACCCCTAACCTCTGGCTGAATTACTCAAGTCCTCAAACCATGGTTTAAAGACTTCAGGTTACCGAGAGTTCACCATTTACACTAGTTTAAACCTGCAAGTGACCCATGCCTCATGCTGCAGAGGAAGGTGAAACCCCCCAGGGTATCTGCCAATCTGACCCGGGGGAAATTCCTTCTTGATCCCAAATCAATTACTTTTTCCCAAAAGGAATATTTGCTGTAGAATGCCTTTGTCAGTGTGCCTCAGGGCAGGCAGAAGACCTGCCCCATTATTTGTTATGTTGGAATTTATATTTCCAATTAAGGTCAATATGGCTCTGCATATTTTCGTCCCAGATGCCTTTTTCTACGACCTCTCAAAAAACAGAATATTTGTTAGGAACTGACAATGTATCTGTGAGCTGAGCAGTTGCCCTATTTGCGTGGCCAGCCAATAATATAAGGAAAAGCCAGTGGTGCAGCGGTTATATATGATGAATACTTTATATTCTTTTGAATCCTTCTTTATATGCATTTTAACATTTTATAATGTTGGATTTCGTTTTCTGTTTTAGTGTAATACATTTTGGTTTTGCACATGGGCGTAAAGCTAAGTCGCTGCTAAATCACTTGACTCAGCTGACTGTGCTAGAGCTGCAGTAGAGTTACAGATGATGCAGGTAAACCACCAGAAGCATAGCCCTGGGAGTGCAATAACCGCTGTTCTGTCGCTATGTGGCCTGAGAAAGAGGAATCCATTCCACCCCAAGTATGGCAGAATTCCCTGTACAGGGGAGAGGATTTGGCCAACAGCAGGGCCGGCTCTAGCTTTTTTGCCGCCCCAGGCAAAAAAAAAAAAAATAAATAAAAAAGGCGGCCGGACTGCCAAAGCAAAAACAACCAGCAGCCGCAGGGAGCGCGTGGAGGGCAGTCAAGGCAGCTCGGAGGGGGGTGAAGGGTGGCACCCGCCCGCTCCCTCCGCCCGTGGGCAGCCAGGCGCTGCAGCCCGCTCGCAGCCGGGCGAGGGGCTCCCCGCTCCGGCCTTGGGGTGCCTCTCCCGGCCGGGCAGGCTCCAAGGGGGCCGACACAGGCAGCGCTGGCTGGGGTCTGCAACCTCTGTGTGGGGCCGGCATTGCAGCGGGGCTCGGCACAGTGCAAATGGCGCCGGGATCAGTGGGGCCTGCCCCTCCGCTGCCCGCCGGGCCGCCGCAGAATCCTCCCTCCCTCCGGTGCCTGCCGGGCCGCTGCCAAACAGTCCCCGCCACCGCTGCCCGCCAGGCCGCCGCAGAACCCTCCCTCCTTCCGGTGCCCGCCGGGCCGCCGCAGAACCCTCCCTCCTTCCGCTGCCCAACGGGCCGCCACAGAACCCTCCCTCCCTGCCTCTGCTGCCTGCTGGGCCGCCACAGAACTCTCCCTCCTTCCAGTGCCCGGGGGCTGCAGGAGGTGCTGGCTCAGCCGCTCCTTTAAAGGCGGCTCGGCCAGGCCGGGCTCAGAGCGGCGCGGGAGGCGGAGGCCGGTGCAGGCGGCGGGGAGTGGCACATCCCGGGGAGCCCGGCGGCACGATGAGCAGCGGGGATCACTAGTTCCTGCCCCCCCGGGTCGGGGTCCGTGCCCCTTCAGGGCTGGGCTGGCCGCCCCAAGATTGGCCGGAATGCCGCTCCTTACAATGTGCCGCCCCAGGCACGTGCTTTCTCGTCTGGTGCCTGGAGCCGGCCCTGGCCAACAGTGTTTCCAGCCCAGCCAAAACCAGGATGTACTTGAAGTCTCATGAGAGCACCTTTCCCAGGGATAATCTAACTTTGCCAAGACTATCTTTTAACATCTGAACAACACGGGTCTGTTTTCACACCGTGCCACCACGTATCTGAATGACTGTTTTTCATTTTCAGTCAGATGCCTTCTTATTTATCATCAATTTGCCCAGATAAATGTTGTTTTTTTCCCCCCCAGGATGGAATTGAACCTGCAAAATTGCACTTGCCCAAGGCTCAGGTTAGGAACAAATCAGTCCTGCATCAGTGTGAGGTCCCAGCTTTGCAGTGGAACACACAACATTTGCTTCCACCCCCAGAGAGTTACAATGTAATATTGTTGTTATTTATGGCCCAACCAAAATTGGGTCCCCAGCATGTTAGGCACTGTACACACACGCCGTGAGACAGTCCCTGCTCGAAAGGGTCACACATCTAAATAGACAAGACAGCCGAGAGGTGGCAGGGGAACGGAAGCACAGAGAGGTGAAATGACTTGCTGGAGCTCACACAACAGGTTTGTCGAGCAGGCATTACAACCGACTGTGTCCCTCTAGGGCTGCCAG